CATACCAGAGAAGAAAATCTGAGTCCATGCTAAGTGTAGGTGCAAGCACACCTATTTCACAGTGGGAAGGAATAGGATGCAGAAGCCTGCTTGGCTACATGTTCCAGTTCGCAATAAAATTGAGACCGATGTCAGCAGGACAAATTATTAATATGCATTTAACGCCTCATAGGACAAAGCTATACAGGATTCAAAGGCAAATGAACTACAGGTTTTCCCTTGCCAGCAGTAGAGATGTACAAAACCAGTGTCAGAAAACACAGTGCGCTCACTTAATCACCAGCTGCTTCTTCTATACATATCAACACTGAGAATGATAGCTGCAGAATCTCTCAAAATGCTCACTCTTAGTAACATAGGTGAGAATGTAGCCCACCAACAGCACTAAAAAGCTTATTACTTTAAAAAAGAGAAATTGCAGGAAGATGCAAGAAGAAAGAAAAGGAGTATTTCCCTTCAATTTCCCTGGGTCAGATAAAAGATTGAATATCATTTAGGCACAATAACTAAAAAATATAATTAATAATTTTAAATGGCTCCAAGCAGAACAAAGACAGAACATTTTGCTTGTTTTAAACTTTGTGAGAAATATAATGAGTATATATTTAATTTCTAAACTTGAGACAAAGCAGGTCACTGGTAAAAATTTCTAAAAGTCCATTCTAACAATTTTAATGAAAACTAATGATCACATCTACTAGCATGCAGTATCAGAGATGCATTTTGTGCCCAGTAGCAGCTGCTACAGTAATTTTGGAGAAGATATATTGCATTCTTCATGAATAACAGAGACAATGAATTCTTAAGAGTGAAATTCCAATCAGACTCAGGTGTGAAACATCTCTGCAACAGCCACATTATAAATTCATCCTTATATATATTCATAGTATCCAATTTATCTTACCTACCAAACCAGACTACTTCTCACCATTTCCAAATGTGCTGTCCAGTCTATATAGTTTATGATATTCCACAAGAAATGAGCTCCTGGACTTCACTTGGGAAGCTACTTTTACCCTATTCTACCGTTGTGTCATTTTTCCACCTTCTATACTGCACTTTTTGCCTTCCCCTCACAGAAGTGTAAAACATCCCTCTCTAGCTGTCTTTTATGCCTATAGAATGGGTGTTCTTTGTTGCCAAATTATTATCGGCTGTGTTCAAAACTGTTCAAATATAAGCATAGCTTTATCACTCTCATAGGTCTTCATCTCCTTTTTAATGACTCTCTATAATTCCCTCTTGGCTTTGTTGCTCTTCCATGAGCTCCATGCAAAGTATCTACATTTTCTACTTAAACATTCTGATTAAGTGACATAGATTTTTTTTTTTTTTTTTAAATAACCAGAACCCAAACAAAGTAAAACTACTCCAGGATTCATCAACAAACAGGATTCTGCTCAGCAGTCTCAGAGGAGCACAACACTCAAGCAGACTTTCAAAGTACTTCAATTTAAAGAATGGAGGAAGCACATAGCTGTGGGTAAAGTGTTTAAGAGCCCAAGACTTGCAAACAATTCCTAAGTACATCTAAAATTGAAGAAAATGAGCCCAGGTGCAATTCTCTGCAGATGAGTCTACTCTTCTGTAATTATGTTGTTGTATACCCTCTTCCAAGGTTAAAACTCAAAAGAAAACCCTATGAATCCCAGAATTTTAGCCTTGAGATCTTCAGTTTCATTTTACAAAAACCCCACCACCCTGAAAGCTGTAAATCTTGAGGACTTCAAAGCATTTTGAACCCACACATCACAAAAACAGTACAAAAACGTTTTACATTCTCATCACAAAATTGACTCTATGTGTATCCAGTTATTTCATTTAAAATATCCAGATTGCACAGTCCTTTTCTTGGATACCACAGTCTGCCCATACATCCTGAATGTCAGATCAGGCTTATTCACAGCCGGCTGAGTTATATTATACTTTTAGTGCAACTAATCTCTTCAAAGCCTTTGCACTTCAAGCTCACAAACTTAACTACCCACAAGGAAAGGTGTCACCTGATAGAATTTAGTTGACTAAAGCTATTTGAGTGCTTAATATGTTGTACCACACCTTTACACTTGTTATTATCTATTATAAACAAAATGTTTACTTTGAAAATTAAATTCTCTGAAAAAGACATTCAAACTGCACTAAAATACCCTGCTGTTGATTATTAACATAAACAAAACTGCATTTTTTGAGATTTGCGGAGTTCTCACCTCAATTACTTCCAGCATTTATTCCAAAATATATAATATTCAGATCAGTCTGAATCCCATTTTTTCCCAGGATAACAACTTACCTTCATATAGCAAAAGGGGACTTACTCTAAAGTCATTAAATTATTATTACTAATTCATGTTAAGGTACTTCGCTACTTACTTGCAGTGAGCTACTTTTTAAAAAAATGCTTGTTCAATGTCCAGCTTTTCCAAAGAGAAGCATGTTTTAAATATTTATTACTGAATTTAGTTCCCCATATTCAAACTAAGCATATGTGGAAATGTTGTTGATTACTGAGCACACTGTGCAGTAAAAGCCAGGTCCTGGAGACCAGACATGGATTTATGGGAAGAAACGAAGGCTGACAGGCTGTTAAAACTTGTCTCCCACCTTTGATTGCTTAACCCAGCTTACAACATCTTTCTCAATCCCCCAGGCCATTTTACCAAAAGCAGGAAGCTGAAGAGATGGTGTGACATTTAAGAAGCCAGGAAACCTGTGCTCATTCCCACCTGCAGCCTTATATTGCAGTTATTTCTGCCTTAGGACCCGGTGAAGGGGAGGGTTCACATCTTTTTCACACCAAGGCTGTTATTTACTCCAGCTGTACAGATAAAGTTGATGTGAAACTGCAGTGAGGTGGAGGATACTCCATGCAATTATCAGGATCCATCACAATTAGCTTACTGGCTATATATACCCATCAGTAAACAGGGAAGTGTAATATGAACATTGAATGAATGACTGAAATATGAATAAATAGACAAGAGAAACAAGTGGTGCCAAAAGCCCAACTTCTCAGCTATACCTGTTTCAGTAGGATTCAACCTATGTCTAGCCTGGCCTTATGGATTGAAAACCCATTACTGTTTGGAGGCACTAGGTATGCTTCCAGAGCACATCTTCCAGTTCAATTTTGTCTGAAAGGAATCTAGTTTGCATGCTCCATAAAGCAAGACCAAACACAGTAAACAGATATGGTATTTACTACAAAAGCATATGTCTAATTTGAACTGAAAACCTAACGTAGATACATAAACTAAGGAGTCATGGTTGGACGTTCCACTCGGCAACAACAGTAGGAGAACAGCTTTTATGTCCGTTTCAATTTTTATTTTTTTTTTAATTTTTGTTTTTATTGGCTCACGTGATAGTATAGCATTATTCAGCTCAAAGCAAACAGGCTCTGGGAACATTTGGCTAAAATCATAACAGACAGGCACTTACAGGTCCCCAAGCTGCTTAAAGGCAACAATCACACTTTTTCATAGTCCTGTGAAAGGACTATGGGCATCAAATTCAGGATTGTGGTGTTAGTCCTACTGGGGTTGTCTGCAGGCTATTTGAGCTCCTTGCTTCTGGGGACCTATTCTATCTGTTTCAAGTGCAGGACACCATCCCTGTTTTTCCACCACCTTACCTTCCTCTGCCTGAGGTATCTTCGCTTTATGCTCATGCTATTCAGTCTCAACAGCTGCTGAACTTTCTATCAGATTCAGGTGCAGCTCAAGGCCAAGTATGGGCAACACGAAAGACTACTGATGCCCCACCACCACTCCAATGAGCAAGCTACATTTCTTCAGCATGAACATCAAAAATAGCCTCAAGTATCCGACTTCTACAGAATGTCAGAAGTCCTATCTAGTATTCTGCTTGGGTTTTAGAGAAAGTTGGGAGCTATGGGAACATGCAGGAAGAAGATCTTCCCTTACAATCCCTGTACTTTTACACACTACGAGAGTGGAATGAAGGGTTGTGAATTTTATTTGTAACTTAATTATAAACGATGCCCTGGGTACTAACTTGGAAGAGCTCTTTAATTCATGTCCTGTAGAGATCTAAACGTGTAGGACTATACCTCAGCGATAAGCAATGATAGTTAGAGCAAATGCCCATTGAAATGAAGACTTGAGTGAGTAAAAAACCCATACCTAATCAAACTGATAAAAATCAGGAGAAAACTGCCAATTCATTTGCGTGATGTGACTATTTCAGAGCCTCCCTTATTCAGGTAGTTTTGTGCTAATATGATTACAAAGAACTGCCATAAAATCTGTTTGCAAAGGGGTTGCTAAAAGCATTACATCAGTTCTTTTCCTATATCCCTCCCACACAACAGTATGGGGATTCCTGGGGACTTCTAAAACTTGAGAGATCCTTACTGCAAGGTTTGGTTCCCTTCCGAGGAATAAATTATAGAATTCCTCAGATTACTATCAGTTGCACCAGGAATTCAAACAATGCCAGGAAACTAAAAACAGAACCCCTAAAATGTGGTTACATATTTCAAAAGGACATAAACATCATTTCACAACCAGAAGGATGACTCACTATCTGGTCTGACTATGGGTCAATGCCATCTCATTGCTCTAGCCAGGCCACTGTCACTAATAGCAGCATTCATTACTCCAGATTTTGGCTAAAATTGATAAACTAATTTTCAAAGTAACTTATGTTAAATTCTATGGCTCACAAAGGTATCTAAGAGGCCATATGTAATGATGATCATAGTCCTCAGTGGCTTTGAAATATATTAGTTTATACATACATTAACCTCAGAATAAATTCATTAGGTTTCTGTAAGTTCATTCTCCACACATTCATTTCAGTAACAACCTATATGTTGTATGCAATACATGCCTATATATTCTATTATGACAGTCACTTTATGATTACTATAATGTAAAATTTTATTTTTCCTTAAGATAAGTAAACAGAACAGGGAAGCTTTTCCCCTGAAACTTTCAGCTATACAAAAAGAAAAAAGGAAGTTCAACATTACTAAGTACCTTCTTTATCATCATGACGTATGACTGCATCCTGTATCATATCAGCAAGATTAAAATGAACTCTATTCTTTCCATGTTTCAGTTTTTTCACGTAGCCCTCTCGTTTCTGGAAAGCTTTTTCTCGTTCATAATATGCCTTTATTTGGTCACAGCGCATCCGCTTCACCAGCCGCTGCCGCTGGCCAAGAGGGAGGGACTCCAGCAAGCACTGCTCAATTTCCATCTCATGGGACCGAAAAACATTACATAGCTGGAAACAGCCTGTAAAAAATTAAGAAGACACACACATTCAGATCATATAACAGCACAGTTTCAAATGTGCCATGAAACCTCCACCAATTTTCTTGTTGTCCTTTCTAACCACGTGTAAGTCTACCATGTGAGCTCCTCCCACTCAACCAATGCCGACTATAGAGAGCATATATCATTATCATTTACTTTTTGGAAACAACACATAACTAATTCCATTGAATCACTGATGCATTTTTTAAAAGCTAACTCAGTTCACATAAACAAACGTGAACAGAAAAAGGTCTGAAAGTTCAAATGTGAGATGGGCAAAATACCTAAATAATTCAGTATCATTCAAGCAGCTCACATTTGCTTACAAACAAGACACTATTATGCAGAGAAATGCCAGTCTGATGCCCATGCTTCCTTTCTATTCATTTTATCTTGCTTTAGGTTAGCAAATTCCTGTTATTCAGTGAGAAGAAAAATCATCATATCATGAGTTCATTAGCATGCAGTGGGTACTCATGCAACTATCTATGAAAAACATCAAAGTCACCTGAGATTCGTAACTATGTGTATGACCTTTTTTTGCATTGTATAAAGCTATCCAAATGAAATCACCTAATCAAATTGTCAGATACTGAAATCTTCATGTGGAAACCAATCACAAACATTTCTTTGATTCAGCTAATCCAAACGTTCATAGCATTACCTTTAAGTCAGATTCCTCTTTTGTTGTTACCGTTAAATCTGGTATTTTTACTGACATTGCAACAACAATGATGTTGTTTTCCATTATGTTCTCTTTTCCACCGAGCGAAGACCGTAAGAGACTACTTGTTGCTAAATGCTTTTCAGGGTACAGTTCTGTTACAAAAGGAGACTAGTGGATGGTCAGCTAATTTTATTGCTCAAGGCCTTGGATGTGAATCCACATCCATCAACAAAGTACCCACTAACCTACCCTAAGACCCTTTGATGTGATGGCTGGAGACCACCCAATCACCTCTATGTTCTATTTTGTATACATACTTAAGTTTCCTTCATATGGAAGCTAGGTGCCCAAATATGTAATTTCTAAGGACTGCAGCAGCCCAGGTGAGAGAGGTGTTCTCTCCTTGGTTTGACAGGAGAGCTCTTGAAGGGGATGTAAACTCAAATCACCTTGGGCAGTTAAGAAATACTGTGTAAGCATTACTGTGCAACTTTAATTAGGCCTGCTTTTGTCTACTCGTTTTGCTAAATCTGCAATTACATCATCAAAGGACCCCTACCACATTCAGGGCACTAGCTGAGTAGTGCTTACTAAATGACCACTTTGTTTCTTCCTTGTTGCTTGACATACGTCTGATCTACTGAATACCATTCAAACCCTGCTCTGAAGGCATAATTAATAATTTCCTGACAGGCTTTTGTAAGGCTCAAATCATCATAGCACATAAATGCTTCACAAATATTTATTTATTTTCATTTAAAAAAAAGAGGAATAAAGGGGCATTCTTATCTACATTCTCAACTGAAGAACCGAAAGACAATGATTTTCTTTTTAAATCACTAATTTTGCATGTCCAATTCAAGAATTCTATATTCTTCCCTTGAAGTTTTTTGGTTTGGTTTAAAGGCATAGTATTGTATAAACTATTATGTATTATAATACCATAATAAAATAGTATCAAAGTGATAGTCCTAGGTCTGCATGCCAATCACTCTATAAATTATATCTTACATTATATATTTATTTATTATTTTGTATCATAAGTTATATATTGTATTCTATTATATAGTCTATTATATGTACTCACTACGAATTAGAACCCAAGGTCTCAAACCAGACTTCCCAAAATTGAGAAGCACACATTTATGCAAGAAGTGCCCAGAGTGTCTTGCTAAGACAATAAATGACAGAAGCAGACACAGAATACAATTCTACAGGTCAAGTTCAGTCAACTTCTTTTAACATAGGCTACCCTTTCCCTCCCTGTAATTTCTGCTCCATTCTTAGCATGCCCTTCTAGTTAGGAGAAAATGAGCTGCCAAACTCGAAAACTGGAAAACAAGTATTGGCTTGCATTAAGCCAAAACACAAACCCTTTCTTTTTGTATATCAAAAGCCAACAACTCCTTCTGTATAAAAGAAAATTTTCCATTTGACCTTAAATGATGCACTTCATTTCTGAGCACATTGGAAGAAAGAAGGAAATGAAAGGGTAGCTCCGTAAAGCTGCAGAAGATGTAACTTTATTCCCCACTTCAGCCCCAGTGTTCAAAGCATTCAATCAAACAGATGTGCACTCAGACCATCCTCCGCCCAAGGTAGTCTGCGACTGCATCTCCTTTCTGTCATGACAGGACTGGGGAATGAGCAAACTTCAACTCTTCCCAATTAGAATTGTTCTGCTTTGTATAAAATATTTCAGTACCCATGCCTTAAGCCTACACAGTATTTTCAGCTTTTAAAAGTCTAAGCTTATACCCTAACACATAAATCTGGATATAGTGCCTGCCAGCCAGGCTTGCAGCCTCAGAGGGAAAAACAGGTTGCTGTGTTAAACCATGTTTGAAAAGGTAGCCAAGAGTCCAGCTGTACCAGTTTTACCTCTGCTCTGTTGCTTCCTTCTCTTTTATGAAGGGAAGAAGGAACAGCCATGCATTTGGGCTCTGACAGGCTACAGCTGAAGTTGCTGTCCATATCTGGAAAACTCAACGAAGGGTGAGAATAGCTGCTCTTCCTAGTCTTAGCTGTAAATCAGCATCTTTTGCTGACAGACTTTTAACTGTATCTTTGCTTTTTCCTTAGCTTAGCTCATGTGCAGCCTCTGCTCTTAGGAGAAACTGGCAGTGTTCACTGCCACGTCACAACTGAGACTGGTGCAAGCTGTAGGAGACCTTTGCTGTCACAGTGCTCTGCTCCTCCAGGGTGAGAAATCAAACAAATTAGCTTAATGTCTTGGTCAAATAAAGCACAGCAAAGATGAGCTCATACAGCCAGACTCCACTTCCAGGAAGGATGTGGCTGGCTTAGTGTCCTCTGCCTCTCTACCGGGATGATTTTCAGCCTGCATGAATGCCCATCTATTTGCTCCATGAAGCAACAGTGCTTGACTGCCAGAACTGGCCTCACATAGAGGTTTCCAGTGTGTGGCCAGAGTCAAACAATTCAGGCTGATTGAGAAGAGGACTCTTAATCCACTTGGGCACTGGTCTCAGCTGAGAAGCAGACTTGCAAATGGGATTTTTTTGTCTCAGCACATCTGGAACCTGATACATCCCAGCTGAGATCAGTATCTGACCATGGATCCAACAGCTGCAGGTCAGCAGCCTCATTAGGTTAAACCTGCATGAAACAACATAGACACAGACAAGGCAAACCCTCTGAATTAATCTTTCGGATGCTCATCTTTAAAGCATGCAACATTCAGTCCCAGTTTTAGAACCAGGCAGACCCCTGCTCTGACTGGTGGCCTACTGAGCATGGGGAGCCACCAATGGCACAAAAAGCAGAGCTTCCAGGCTGTAATCCCATGAGAGATGGACTCAAACCCAGGAGGGTTATAGACATACTTCTGGAGAAAATTCTGGCTATTGCTTAGTGCCACTTTGAGCAGGGAGTTAATCACCAGCATCAGGTCACATAACCTTCTCTTGTCCAGCAGAGTCTTGAAAACCTCTATCAACAGATTCTCCAAGTTATCTGGGTAACCTGTTCCAGTGCTGCACCACCTTCTATCTAAAATGTCTTGGGGGTTTTTGGTGGCCGTTATCCCTTGTTACTACTTTCACTACTGAGAATAATTCAGCTTTGCCATTTCTGTAATTATCCCAGCAGCCTTCTGCTGCCCTCACTCCACTTCCTCAGTGTCCCTCTTACATACATACTTGCAGATGCAGCTTCACTAGCCCCAAGCAGCAGCAGACATTGACTTCCCTCAGTCTGCTAGCCACTCTCCTAACATGGACAACTATGTGGTTTACCTTATTTACAACCAAGCACGCAGGGCTAGCTCCCATTCAACTCTGTGTCCACTGTAATCCCAGAACCCTCTTCAGCAGGGCTGCAGCTCAAGTCAGTGTTCCCAGCCACGAGCACCTGCCACCACCACAGAACACCAGCCCCACTACATATGGGCCTCCCGGCGGGCGCCCTTTATACCCTAGGGCGGGGCGGGGCTCGTGCTCATATATGGTCAGGCGTCGAGAAACTTCTCTCAAACAAGGTGTTTCATTGGCCGAGGGCCCTGTCTGTTGCCCGAAAGGCCTTGCCTTTCTTTCCGGCCGCTGTGCGGGCCCGGCGCTTGAGCTACGAAGCGCGGCTTCTGCTTTTAACCCTTTCCTTTCCGCGGTCGAGAAGTTGTGGTCTCTGTCAGGGCGGCTTATACCCGCCACACCAACGCACAGGGTTGGTCTGTCTCGGGCATGAAAATAGGCACTTCCCTGGTTGAAATGGCCCAAGTTTCTGTCAGGCCAGTCCTCAGGATTAAGCTTTACCATGCAAAGCATGCCAGCCACGCTGTCCTAATCGAGCATTGCCAGCAGCAGTGACAGCTTCAGCTGTAAAGAAAGCCTCCAAGAGAAAATAGCTGCTAAAATCCACAGCTTCATTAGGCAGGTGTAAACCATTACTGTTCAGGGACTGACGGCCAGGCTCCAGCCGGGCCGGAGAGAGCAGCTGTTGGAGCCTCCTGAAGGGTAACGGGCAGCAGGTCTGTCCAGCCTTTTCCTTCTGTGTATGAGAAAAACGGCACAAACCGTCACACTGAACCTGGTACAAGAACCTTGTACAGGACCCATCCAAATAGCTGAAGATGTATGGAAAACAGGATCTCAACCAGAGCTGGTTCTGAGTATGCTAGTCAGGAGGCAGCGTGGTAACGTGAGGAAAGGCTGGTGGGTAGGGAGAAAGGCTGCCTTCTGATTCAATTTGCGTAAGAATTTATATCTCATTACATAAGATATCATATTTGAAGATTATTTCATGTGGTTCTTGCCTCAGTGTACGACGAATTACAGTTATGTACAGCGATTCGATA